CGCCAGGCTGGTGGGTGGATATGAAAATCATACCTACGTCGTCATCTCTGCTTTCTCAGGATCATTGCGGAATGCAGGAACCCACATAGGTTAATGTCCCACTCAGAAGATTTTCTTCGGAAAGGCAAGAACTTTTTGGAAACTGCAATCATGTGTACAGAAATAATTCCAACATATATCAGAAATCTTGCCCTCTTCAACAGAGAATCCTCTAACTAGCGGACCCTCTGCGTTTCTGCCTAGCTTGCAGGCAATGCGGATGCTCCTGGTGCCACTGGACTTTGAGTAGCAAGGTTCTGAAGGCAACAGTGGGTGTAATTATCTATGTCCTTAGCATCTGATAGCCTAAGACTGCTCCTCTTATTAATATTGTTTATCTCATTTTAAAAAATGTACTATCAAGCTTAAAATAAAATGCACACCTGGAAGGAATCATCTAGTCCAAAGACCTCATTTTAAAGTTAAGGAAACTGGTGCCCAAGAAGGTCGTATGATTTCTGCAAGGTCGCTTGACTGGTTAGTGATAAAAAACAGGGTTTAAAACACTGTTCCTCTGAGTACATGTTTCCTTCCAGTTGCTAAATTCTCTACTAATTTGTTGCTCCTTTCCTAGAGCAGACTGAAAATTCAGATGTCTAGTACTGTTAGAACTGTATGCAAAAGTAAATAAGCTCTAACAAAGGGTCTTGACAACTTTCCTATGAACAAAGTAAAAAATTCAAAGTAATGTTTGGACTTGGTGCCTTCTACACTTGAACTCTTTCTTTTTTGCCAATCTGGATGTTTTTTTTGGATGGCTGAAATCATCTCTGAATAGAGGATTGACGGCTGACTGATTAAATCAAAAATAACTACAAGAGTTGCTCAATTAGCAAAAACAAACAAAAACAAAAAGATGTCCATTTAAATTTGAATATCAGAGTAACAACAAATAATTTTTAGCATAAATATGCCTTGAATATAGAGTAGACTTACACTTTTTTCCTGCAACCCGAAGTTGGAAAGATATAAGAACACACAATAAGAAAAACAAAAAATTAACAGATTGCAGAAAGAAGACCAGAAAACACTAATGAAAATGAAAAGAGTAATGAAGGAAAGAGTTTTGTAGATAACTTTAAAAAACTAGAAAGAGAAAGTGTTAGGAGAGGTCAACACTTTTTGACCAAGTAATAGAGAGTACATATTTCTAACATGAACTGATCCTTAATTTCTGAATGAATGAAGGTTCACTATTTAAGTCTTCCTAATAAAATGTAGGGCCAAAAGGAAGAGGAAAAATAAAAACCTCTAATAATGACAAACAGCTGGCACAGTAACAAAGTTGTTATGCTCTGAAAAATCAGTGTTAAAAACAAACAAAATGCTATTAAAATCCATGATTTTAAAAAGAAATCATGAGCTATTACAAAATAGTTAGGGCAGATGGACAATGAAAGTACTGTATAGGCTACAACCAAAGTAGGGCTTACCCGGGACAATTATGGAGCAATAAAAATTAATCATTCAAGGGACTCAACATACAGAGCTAACAAAGAACATCAATATAAATCAGAGACACAGGAAGAGATGAAACAACAAAGATAAGGATAGAAATCAGTGAGTTTGAGAACTAAGTGGAAAAAAAACCCTGAAAAGTTGTTTTTTGAATAAATTCCAGGCATGAGTAATCAAGAAAAAGAAAAGGGAAATTCAAAAACATACAATATAAAGAAATTGATAGCTATAGCTAAAACAGCGATGAGGCATAGTAAAGACAATTTATGAACAACTATCAGCAATAATTTGAATATGTTCTAGAAATTAATATATTTGTGGAAATATCCAATAATTCAAAATTGGAAATGAAAAATTAAATATTTCAATAAAAATTAAAGGCCTTTAAATGACAATCATAATTTTTTTCCTCAAAGTAGCCCCAGGCCTAGTTGGTTTTATAGGTGGGCTCTGCCAAATTTTGAAGAAACAGAAGACTCCTTTTTTACACAAGTGGTTTTGGAAATTTTTTTAAAAAGGGAAAACTGCCCAATTTTATAAGGCTTGTATAATCTAAATACTTGAAAAACAGAAGATATAAACTAATTCCACATATGGGGACCACATATGGCAAAAATCAGAAATAAAAGATTAACCCATAAATTCCAAGAATACATTTAAAATGTACCATAAATAAATAAGTTCACTTTACAAAGGCAAAAATGATTTGATATCTAAAAAAGAAAACAAATCTATCAATGCACTTCAACATAATAATGGATCAAAGGAGAAAAATCAAATGCTTATATCAACAGATGAAAATCAAGTGTTTGATTATTTGACTTTCCATATACCAGCGTATTTTCCAAGAGGCAGGAAAAAAATGATCTATGGCTTAATCTAAAGTTTATATGGAAAATAAGTGTTCAGAAATAATGAACAGCTAATGCAATTTTTTAAATGTGCAAAAAACATAGGGGGACATGCTTTACCAGGCATGTTTACATAGTAAACGTTATAGAAATACACAGCCAACATAATATTCAATGAGCAAAAACTAAAAGCATTTCCCTTAAGATCAGGAACAAGACAGGGATGTCTGGTTTCACTACTCTTATTCAACATAGTACTAGAAGTCCTAACCACAGCAATCAGACAAGAAGAAGAAATAAAAGGCATCTAAATTGGAAGAGAAAAAGTAAAACTGTCATTATTTGCAGATGACATGGTACTGTATATACAAGTAGAGACCCTAAAGATTCCACCAAAAACTACTAAAACTAATCAATAAACTCAGTAAAGTAGCAGGATACAAAATAAATATTCAGAAACCAGTTGCATTTTTATATACCAATAATGAGCTATCAGAAAAGGGAAACTAAGAAAACAATCCCATTTACAATTGCATTAAAAAATACCCTGGAATAAATTTAACTAAGGATATAAAAGGCCTATACTCAGAAAATTATAAGACACTCAAGAAAGAAATTGAAGAAGACAGAAATAAGTGGAAGCGTATACCATGTACATGGATAGGAAGAATTAACATCACTTTTTTCATTTTATGTGTATACATACACATTCCTTTTATATATAGATATATCTGTATATACATATTTAGTTAGGTGGTTCTATTAAAAATATTAATAAAAAATTAGTAAAATTGATAAGACTTTAGCAAGACTAGTCAGAAAGAACAAAAGAGAAAAGCCAAAAATTAACAGTAGCATGAGTGAAAAAAAGGTTCCAAAGATCATGGAAGCATTACAAAGAACTTAAGAGACCATTAGAAAACAAATTTAATGCCAATAAATTTAAAACTTGAGGAAAAAATGGACAACTTGAAAAAAAATCAACTTACCAAAATTGATCAAAGAAAAAATAGAAAGCCCAAATTCTTCTATATTTGTTTTTAAATTTTAACATATAATTTAAATTTTTTCCTCAAAGAAACTCACGGTTCAAATAGCATCACTGATGAATACCTCCAAAATTAATACCAACGTCACACAAAATATTCCAAAGAACTGGAGAAAACAGAAACTTATTTTAGCAAGTCAAATCTAGCCTTCATCATAAAACCCGATAAGACAGTAAAACGTAAGAAAATTAGGTGCCAAGCTCTAATGAACATAGTTGAAAAATCACTTAAAATACCCACAGAAAGATTCCAAAATTGCTAACAAAATTATACATCGCCTTCAGTTGTTATTTTTTCACTAGGTCTGTAAGATTGGTTCACATATAACAGTTTATCATAGTAAGTCAAGAGATTGATAGGACTAGGGGAGAATAATATGAACATCTCAGAACCACTGAAGCATTTGATAGAATTCAACTCACTTTTGTCAGAAAACTACACAATGTTAAGATACAGTAAAGATCTAACTAACTGAAAGAACATATAAGAAAACTGGTATGTTAAAGAGAAATCTCTCTCCAAACTGATTTTTTTAGATCCAATGAAATCCCTATCAAAATTGCATAAGATTTTTCCCATGTGTGGAAACTGAAGCTGATTATAAAATTTATATGGAAATTCAAAGGACCAAGCAGAACCAATACATTCTGGAAAAAAAGAAACAATGTTTTAGAACGTACATAATCAGATTTTTAACACTCACCAAAAACATACAGGAAGTAAGAGCATAATACAATGCAAGAATATACAGACCAGCAGAACAGAGTAAGAATCAACAAAGAGAAAAAAATGAAACCACAGGGGGTACCTTTTTATCCCCAACAGAATGGCTAAAATTAAAATGTCAGATACCACCTCTGGTGAAAATGTGAAGCAACTGGAATGCTCAGAAACCTCTTGCGGGACCACAAGTACTGTGAAAAATTATTTGGGATTATCTGCTAAAGCTGGTCTTCTGCCTACCTACAATCTAGCAGTTCCCAATATACCCAACTCTTTGTGAACATTCACTAAAAGGAGTGTACAGAAAGGTTTAGCCGAATTATTTGTAGTATCATTATAGAGGAAAACTAAACATAATCCACATGGTCATCAACACGGAACAACAAACAGCAGTGCATCCTTGCGCTGGAACGCAACAGGGAGTGAAAGGAGAGTACACTCCGTGAAGGTTCTCACAAAAAGTTCCAGAGCAGACAGAACTAATCTGTGCTGCTAGAATTAAAAATCATAACTACCTCCGTGGTGTAATACCCAAGAAGAATGAGAGAGCCTTTTGGGAGTGATGCTAATGTCCTGTTTCTGGATCTGTGTGGTGGCGAGAGAGCACACTTTGTAAAAATTCATTCATCTGTGCATTTTTGATCTTGGCACTTTCCTGTTTGTGTGTTACACTTTGATAAACTGATCACTAATAAAAAAGCATAGATTTCAAAAGGAGTGGAAATAAATTCTAAATGTAAACACTCTGAGATGAGAAAAAGAAGTTTCCTGACAAGATATTCCAATCAGTCATGTGCAGACACACACGCACCTCTGCATATACAGAGGCCTGTGCACAGTCTACCTGCAGCCTTCACAAGGAAACACCTGGGCCACTTACTTTGAGCCAGATCCCGTCCTCTCTCTCCAGGCTACCTTCCTGCTGCTCAGTGCCTTCGTCCCGAGGTCTGCCTCCTCTGGGCACACAGGGAAGCCAGCCAGGAGGGGAAAGGTGCTCTGGTGAACCTGGACGGTATGATGTGCAAACCTGAAATGCAATTTCAACCAAAAATGAAATGTAGAGGGGGAGAGATAAGATGACTCAATTCGCCAGCTCAGAACCATAGTTTTCCTCTCTTTCTGAGTGCCCAGGGATCGCATTAGTGGCTGGAAACCGTTCTCAACGTAGAGGGATGTCTCAGGGCTCCCTGCTAGCCTCCGGATAGAACTTGTCTGGGTAGAAAACCACACAACTCTCAGCCCACCATCGCCCAGGAGATCTTGCCACGAGAACAGTTCCTGGCACCTTTCAGGCAACTGCTTCTCGAATTAGCTATGGAAGTCTGTCCAGGACAACAGTCAGATCCTTGCCTTGCAGGACCTATGGGCCCCGGAGGGAGGCTAGTGAGTGAGGGAACTGCTGAGCGCTCTTGTGGGTATGGAAGCCAGAGATGAGACACTCCAGGAAACCTTCCACTTCACTTCGGGAAGATGGGCAACGAAGACTAAAAGCCACTTTAGAAAGCTGTCACTAACTCAGAATCTCCCAACTTTCCTGGCTGCTTGCCCCTGGGCATCAGAACTCTTGCAAAAATGCCAGCACTGGGCTGAGGGAGTGTGGTAGTCATGGCTAGCTGCCCACCCATACCCATTTCCCCTTCCTTTCATGTTAACAAACTCCAATTTTGTTCAAGAAGACAGTGTGACTCGGTATAAATGCTCATCTCCTTGGGGCCCCTTACAACTAAGGGTGATTAAGTGACCTGGATCTGACCAGTAAGATGTTGGTGGAAGTCTACAGTGTTGAACGTCCAGAAAAGCTGCCATTTTCCCAATAAAGAAAGAAAGATGCAGCTAGCAGGCATTGATTTCCCTTCTTCATGCTAGACATGGCTGCTGCATGCCTCAAAGAACAGCAGTCACCTTACCAGCAGCAGCAGGAAGAAAGCTGCGGGCCAAGGATGCAAAGAACTGGGCCACGGAAGACATCTTGGTCCAAGATGAGTTTCTGGAACTGAAGCACCAACCTTGGCTGGTCCCTCAGTCTCCTGGGGATGCCTCAAGTATAAAATGCAGTGATTTCACCCTGGCCTCAAACACATAGGGAACTAAACCGCCCTTCTCTTGAAAGGACTGAATTGTCTATTGTTTTGAGGAATGGAAGAGTTTACTTGGCAATGGACACACCTGGAATAGTACCCAACAGCCAAGCTCTTCATCTGCTTCTCAGTATTCAACTCACATTCCTAGAAGCCAGTCTTTAGAGTCCTCAAAGGGCCTCCTGGTTATTTAGAGGGATGTTTCAGAAAAATCGTATACCTAAGGATTTGTTTCCAGTACTAACTCTAGAATTTCTCCAATAATAAGAATTCTTTAAATCAAATTATACCCTGATCTTTAATGCATATTTTAAATTCTATATGATCTTTGTAGTAACCCATTGAGTTGAATGCAAAAGGGTTACGATACCCGACTTATATATGAGAAAATCGGGGCCCAGAGAGGTTAAGTGGCCCGTTGAACATCACTTAGTAGTAACAATAGTAATGCTGGTGGAGCCAGTGGTGTAAGCGAGGCATTCTGTTTACTGCTTCTTTGTGTTCTTTTAAAATAAATTCTCTCAAACACAAAGTGTAGCTTCTGATATATGTACTTCTAAGGTTAATTTGGAGATGATCTGCATACCTTGAAGGCAACCATTGCATAGCCAAAGATTCTTGGATGAAAACTGGTGAGGGTATGTGAGTGAGGGTGGGGGATGAGATCTAATTGCTAGTCTAGAAGCTTTTCACTTACTTTTATCTTATTCTGGGTTCAGTATGGACTAAATCTGATGTTAAAGTCAGGTCTTGAACATCTTCTGGCTTAACTTACCATGGAATGAGGTTTTCCTGTTACCAAGGAAACAGGACACTTGTGCTTGTCTTCATGGGCAGAGTACGCCTGGCTCGCCCACTGATCCAGGTGTCCGCTGGGAGTGTAGAGGCCGCAGTCTGCGAGGCTGGTTTCCTTCTCAAAAGGTTCGCATACCCCATCTCCCTCAAATACGTAGCACAGGCTCGGCTCCCCTGCCAAAACACATCGTGTGACGTTTGAAAATGTGCCATGTAAAAACAATCGCATTTTTCCTCCAGCTCAAATCCCAAAACTGACAGTCTCAATGCTCACCCCAACCATGCAGAACACACACACACACCCCCCACCTAAAGAAGCAGAATTCTTTTTCATTGGGAAAGAGGTAGAACCCAGGCCCACAACCAAGGTATAAAAAGGGGTGGTGTTAGGGGAGAAGAAACAGGGAGAAAAAGGTAGCTGTGTGGCTGCAGAAAGAAAGTATAAGGAAGAGTTTGAGCAAGATACTTAAACGGGAAGTTGGGGATATTAGAAAAGTGGATAAAAGAACAAAGAGAATTTAAATGGTATAATGTTTGAGGTATTTGGATCCCCTTCATAGTTTTTGAAATATTAAAGCACTTGAGGAATTGGTTTTCAACTACTTTTTGCTGCTGAATTGTGTTTCTTCAACTCACCATTCAACTGATCTGAAACTGGACAACATGGGCTCTGGGTTTCCAAGGGCCACTCGGTATTATTTCTTTTAGCCTTACAGCAACCATGAGAGGTATGTGTTTTTTGCCTGTTTCATAAATAGGAAGCTTGGGTCTCAGTAATTTTAAAGTCAGGTTCCCCTGACTCATAAACCATGGAGCTTGAATTTGAGCCAAGCTCACAAACTGCAGGTCGGGGGCTCCTCATTGGCCCCCGCTGCCTCGAGCTCAGACAGGACTGTCTTCACAAGCAGACAGGTGAGCAATGAATGCTTAGGGAAAACCATCAGGGGCAGTACATTGAGCCTGCATTCTCTGCACATGTTCTGTACCTGCTCACAGGGTAACTCTTACGTGAACAGTACTTCACTATTGCTGTGTAAACCAGCTTCAAACATAGAAAGCTGAGGTGCAGTTATAAAGCCATTTATTAAGTTCTACTGGATTTTCTACCAAAATACGGAACAACTAATATTAGCGGCACATCTCCAATTTCCCGTATCTACTTAAAATAACTGGACATGACAATAAAACCATGATTCAAAATAAATCAACACATAGGGACACATTCAATAACACCATTACTAAAATGTACTATTACTATACCAATCTCTTTATCTTTATTTCTTCACAGTAATACCACAGGGCTGTGCCAGGAATTTTCACTGCTCATCAACATGGATTTATTAATCATTTTCCTTAATAATTTATTCAAGTCACCCTGGCCAGGTATCTCAGTTGGTTAGGGTGATGCAGATACCCCAAGGTTGCAGGTTTGATCACCACTCAGGGTACATACAAGAATCAAGCAGTGAGTGCACAAGTAAGTAGAACGACAAATCAATGTTTCTCTTTCTTCCTCCCCTTTTCATACCCCGCCGCTCTAAAATCAATAAGTGAAAGAAAAATTTTTAAATAATTATTCAAGTCAAGACCCCTCTGTGATAAATCGAGCTTTACTTGCCAGGAATAAGCCATTGTTTCTAGGACTTGATTCTAAGCCTATTTGGGGCTTTAAATTCCTGCAGATCATCAAAACTACAGCCTACCCCAAACGCCCCAAAGCAAAGCCAGTATGTGTATATTTGAAATGACTTCACCATAATGATTCTTTTCTTTCTCCCTCTCACCAAAGATATGTGTATTTATGTACATAAATATGTATTTTATGTAGTTATGTACATAAAGTATATTTATGTACATAAATATGTATATATTTTAGACGTATATAGACATATATTTCTGAATACATGTATATATTTTATAATGTGCATATTATTTATAATATATATTTGTTTTGTTTTGCTATTTATTAATGAGTGACTGTTTCTTCTTGCTTCTCTATTCTTTTACCACATACTTAAAATTTCTGCCTCTGTCTTTTTCAAATCCATCTAAAAATAACAGACACTTTTAAAACCCATATGACAACAATTCCTTCAGACCTAACCTTTGGAGAAATGATGGAATAGAACTATATACTTAGCCTACTATGAATGTATTACTTACTGAAACAGATGTCCAGCTGTGGAATATATCATGTTTAACTTTATCCTGTATGATTCAGGTACAGTCTTACTGGAGTTAGAAACTAAGGAAATATGGGATAAGGTGTGATGGCAACCAAGCGAGGTCTGCGCTGAGATTAAATGAGAGATGAGCTGCACTGGAGAAGGCGCGGCGTATGTCGGGGGGGCAGGGTGGGGGAGAGAGTGTATGTGCGTGTGAGTTCAACATAAGCCCTCTATGCCCTGTGAAAAGAAATGACACAAACAGGTGGAGTTCACAAAGGCCTGTGTGCAGAAGAGGGTGGGTAATCAGTTCAGCATATTCTGCACATCCACCCACATCTGCAGGACTGGATTCCTCTCTGGGTATTGACCATGTGAAGCAGGCCAGGTCAGGGTTAATAGGAAAGGGTCTGGAAACCTAATCACATGAGGGGATGTTTGGGTTGGAAAGGAGAATAATGGGGAGGCATTTCAAATATCTGAATGGTAGTCAAATAAAACAGGGGAAAAAATTATCCTCTGTAGTTTCACAGCAAGAGAGCAAGCACTTGATTAAGCACCAGGGAGGCTGAGCTCCAGGTTGGCCCTGCAGAGACCCCGTGTAATGCCGTGGGTGAGTCATTGAAGTGCTCTGAGCCTCAGTTTCCAAACCAGAAAGGAGGGAAGAAATTTATGACAGATAAAGCCATCTGCAAATAGAACAGTCTGTTTCAAGGCACATTCTTTGCTGCTAGAAGTATGTAGGCATAAGCTACGTACAAGGGCCCATCTCTCAGGAACTGGCAGAAGGAAGCTGGACTTAAGTCACTGGTGGCCTGTATGCAGGCAGGGGTCAGGCTGTCTATCAGACTCCTGGTACACGCTGCGCAGTCAGCATCTTTTGTTGGATAGAGGGAAGACTACTCAGATTCTGTGATATTAGGATTGTGCTTTAGAGAGCAGGGGCATCTGTGTGTTCTGCGCAGTACTTAACCCCTTAATAAATTCTACATCATCATAATCATATCCTGCTATATCTTGAGATGTAGAGACATTACAATATTTTTAAATGCTCCGCTGATTAAAATAACTTTGCTGAGTGGTTATGTTCCACAGAATCATTGCAATGTACGCAGACGGGAATGGAGATGCGATCTACCTCTCAGAGGCCCGCTGGCGATGGTTTTAATCAGAGCTGGGGGCGGGGGGTGCTGGGCAGCCCCCGAGTAGCAGGTGCCTCAGGTCAAAGCCACCTCGTTCTAATTCATTACTGGCATTCTCTGCGATTAAGAAACATTATGACCCTCTGTCATTCTTGATGATCTCACCTATTAAACATAGCACTCCATGTGACTTAGAATGACCCCTCGCCCTAATTCTAACATAGACTTCATGTGGTTGTGTTACTGAGCTGACACTGACACGAGACATGAGAAATCCTGATAACATTAATCTAGGAGGCGGTATAAGCGTGGGGTTGACAGAGATTCTACAGCCCTACTCCCTTGGCTCCAAGCCGGACATCACCACCTCTAGCTGCAGAAGAGAAGGCAAGGCAGCTGAGGCCCCTGTGCCGCAGGGCAGCGTTCTCACCCTCAGAGCGGGGACGAAGTGAGATGATGCGTGGGAACCAGTGTCTGGCACACAACAGACACGTCCAGGGTCCCTGTTGTCGTCGTCGTCACCATCATCAGTAAGGTGCACCTTACAGGACATCAGGGGCTCACAAAAAGGAGACACGGGAAACCCCCCCGCCCCGCAACAGGGCAGGAGCCAACACAGCGCTCCTGCACTCACCGACGCAGCGGAAGCCCGCCTCCAGGGCGCACGTCCTCGAGCAGCCGTCCCCGCTCCGGAGGCCTCCATCATCGCACTGCTCTCCCAGGTGCCTGTGAGGAAGACTCGGCATGTACGTGTACACAGAGGCGACGTTTCCTTTCTACTACCTCCACGTGGGCTTCTTAAAACTCCTTATTACATATGAGAAAGTGCAAGCTGGAGTGATTTCACTCGTATGTGGAAGATGGAGAACAACATGAATAAACAAACAAAAGAGAAGCAGCCTTGTAGATGTAGAGAACAGGTGCCAGAGGGGAAGGCGGTGGGGGCCAGTGAGAAAGGTGAAGGGACCAAGACGGACAGACTGGTAGTTACAAAATAGCCATGGGGATGTAAAGCACAGCACAGCGAATACAGCCAATAATGTTGTAATAAGTAGGTATGGTGCCAGGTGGGTGCTGGAAATATCAAAGGGAACATTTTGCCATGCATGTAATTATCTAACCACTATGCTGTGGTCCTAAAACTAATAGGAACATTGAAAAAATTTTAAAAAATGCAAACTGGGAAAAAGTGGGAGCTAAGAGAATGCTTTCGCACACACACAAAAATTAAGTATACAGACATTTATAGAAGATACAAATTAAGCAATGACTATTGATTGGCGTGTCCTGGGGATGTGGGAATTTCCAAAATTCAAGTGGCTCATGGCTCAGAAACACATGAGACCCATAAGTGTCCCAACAGTGTCTCTGGTAAGTGGTCTTTGCTAGAAAATGCTGACCAGCCCTATTACGAACGCAATCTGAGAAGCAGTGGATTTGGTGAGAAGGAAACCTGCTTGTCTATGTGTGGATTTGTTTTCTGTTCATTTCTATTTGATATTTCTTTATTTTCACTGCTTTGTTCAATCTAGATGCAGTTGTTGTTAAAGTCAGGATTTTGTGGAACCAAAATCCGACTCTATATACCAGAAGATCCAGCAGACAGAGGCAGCCTTTCCTCAGTCCAGACATCTCTAAGGCTCAGGTCCTGGTCCTTGCTCCCTACTACCACCTGGTGGCAGCTCATATGTATTGCAGGGGAGAAACAGGATGGGGCCAAAGTCTACAGTTGTTCGTATGGAAAATAATGTAATAATTAATAAATAACAATACCAGAATAGACTCTGTATTTTGCATACTCAGAACTCTAGAGCTGCTTTTTCCCCACCCTCTACCAACAGAAGGAATATGCGATTTTTGTTTTGAACCTCAAAAGCTGATCCAACTAATGACTACATTTGGATTGAGGTGAAGCTAGTTTAGAGTTATACCATCTCACAGAGATGGAGAGAAGATTAAATAATTATGCATGAGAATGTTTTAAAATAAATTAACAGTATGATATAAATACAACTGTATGATAATCACATTTAAATGGTAAGCTGTAAGTCAAAAAAAGATAAAAAAATACAAAATAACATAATTGAAGAAATTCAGGAAACTTCAAGTTCATGTTCATTTTGAAAATAATCTAAACAATATAAACATATTGTGTCATCTCGTGTTGCTGCCCAATAGAAATATGAGACCCATATTACATACACTTTTTAATTTTCTAGAAGTCATTTAAAAAACAGACGTATTTAGTTTTAGTAATATATTTCATCTAAACCAATATATCCAAAATAGCTTTTTAGTATATAATAAGTATAGGAAATTATTAATGAGATATGTTACATTATTTCTTTGAATGCTGGGTCTTTGCAATCCGATGTGTATTTTTCACTTATAAAACATTTCAATCCAAACACTTGATCTGTATTTCGTTCCAGAAAAACTTAAAGTTTTCCTGATACTGTCTCACATTTTGGCTTTAAAATTAAACTTAAATTACTTAAAATTAAATAAAGTTCAGTCCCTTCGCTGTCATTGCCACGTTTCCAAGGCTCAGCAGTCACCTGGGCCGGAGGCTCCTGTGCTGGGCGGCGCCAGCTACGAGTCAGCCCCGACTGGGCGAAGGCTGCCGCTCACGGGCCCGGAGCCCTGCGGCCCGTGCAGGTCCGCGGCCCCTCAGGATGAAGCGGCACGCTCCTCGAGTTCTCAACAGTGGCTTAGAGCGCGTGCACAGCTCCCCCTGCTCTGTGTGTGAAAGAGCGCCTCCAGCTGAGACAGGGCAGCAATTCAGACGCCTTCCCACGGGGTGGCAAGACTGAGCACGGCTCTTTACAAAGAGGGGACCCAGGCAGAAGCTTAAAGGGATGTTTTGATAAGGAAACTTGCGAGGCCCAGTAGCCAAGCAGGTACTGCTTCAGGTGAAGCTGTTGCAAGGCACAGGAGAGATGTGCAATGCCAAGCTAGGAAGCGGGCCCTTCGTGCCATAGGCCTAGACCCCTGGGCAGATGTGGCACCCCCAGAGAACAGCTGCAGGAGAGCCTACAACATAGGACAGAGTGCTGTTCAAGCAGGGCTCCTCCTGGGCAGCAGTGGGGACCAAGCTCCCCAAACACCTTAAGTGGTAGGCAACAGGCTTAAAAAGAAGCAGGCAGACCAGGGAAAACAACAGCCAGACTTCTTCGGTGCACATGTGAGGTGGCCCCAGCAAGAAATGTGACTGAGATGGGAGAAGGGAGGCAGCAGACAGAGGCTGGGCTAGGCAGCAGTCGGCAGCCAAGGAACACGGTTTGGGCATTCAAGTTGTCTCAATCAACCACCTTCGTATGTCGCTGAGGTCTGGGAACATTTGCTGCTTATACTTCTATGAAAAGGAACAGACTTACAGAAGCTTAAGGATCTCAGAAGACGGGGAAGATAAACAATGCTTAGTAATGGCTAAAAGGTGAGGCAGCATCCCAAGAAAGACTATAGGGTTGCTTGCAATGAGGGCTTCAAGAGACAACGTATTTTCACCTCGTCTAGGGAAAGCAGGCCGTGCTAGTAGCAGGTGGCATCTAAGGGGAATCACAGCCTCCTGCCCCCAGCAGCTTTATGTAGTGACAGGTGACAAGGAGGCTAGAGGAGCACTCAGGACGGGTTGATACAGGGTGACCGCTGGGACATGGGAGTTTTCTGTGTTCAACTGGGGCAAGTCCCAGGCAAACCAGAATGAATCAGTCCCCTAGGTTGGTGTCGCAAAAGAGCAACAGATAAAGAGACATGGCATGTTAAGAAACCAAAGGACTGATTCTGTCTTCCCCTGGGTGATGTTACAGAATAGCTGTGAATGACATCGCATGGGGCCTTCCGGGGGAGGGGAGGTGATAAGCAAGTGGAGCTCGGAAAGCTTCACCGCCTTCCTCAGGTCACACAGCTGGTTAACAGCATGGCACGGGCCACTGCTCCAAAAGGTAGCCTCCCGCCCCCTTGTGACATCATTTGACAAGTAACCTTCTCCCCCATGAATTCTTTCTCTGCACCACAGCTGCTCTCTGAAACCTTGAAAGCCGCCCTCACCCCAAAATCAGCCCCAGTAGCCCAGTACTCTGGGCTGCTATCAGTAAATAAAAGAGGGCCCCTCCTTAACTACTGGGTCCTAGAGAACCCTGCCACTATCAGAGGTCCACCCCAAACTCGAGGCTGACCTCTGGCTCCAAGCAGGACCGAGGTCCTTGTCCTCACGGTCGCATGCACATGATACTCACCCTGCCACCTTCCCATCTCCACAGTAAGGGTCCCCGTGGACATGGCTCAGAGGCGGCGACGCTTCTCCCAGCTCCGCTCCGGCCATCGCTCGGACTTGGTACTGATACGCCTGCCCCGGTGAGACCTCCCTGTGGAAACCAATGTGCCATGACTACCACCTCCAGCAAGTGTGCAGGAGTTAAAAAGAGATGCCGTGGGGGACATCAGTGACAAGCCTATGCCGCATTTTCCGAAGCAAAGATCGGGGCAGGCAGTCTTCCGCGGTGGCGGAATGTGTAAAACCACATTCCTTTCTGTATTCCGAGAGCCTTCTACACAGTGAATGTGCAATACATGATGACTGAATGAACATGGTTAACTAACAGTCCCACAAAATCTGAGAGTGCGGTATTTTGAGTGTACCTTTACCATGTTAAACAAAAATCACCAACTTCTGTAAAAGTAGTGTGTTTGCAAGCTGAAGATGAAACTGTAGTTTGGGCTCAGCTAGGCCCTTCTTGAGTGTGGATTATAGGCTTTTGTTTGTCTGTTGTCTCTCAAGAAAGTTGCTGTCTTGGGAACACTGAATCCCAAGAGGACAGAGCACTGTTTCCTAAAAGGAGGCGAGAGCACCTTCCATCATCATTTTAAAAGGGGATGCAAGAAATCCCACAGTTAGAAATGTGCGAAATTACTTGCCACCCCAAACCTGTCAAAATGCACCTACACCGGGCTGGGGTTGTGTCAGCTGCCAGAGAGAGGGGAGGCCTTCACCAGACTGTCCGGAGCCCGAGTGCACTCGTCAGGTGGGGAGCAGGGGGCACAGAACATGTAGACGCTGTGGGGGCTCGACAGGTGGCTGCTGGTTCCAAAGACAAATTCTTCCCTCGTCTTAATTTCGTCCAGTGCCTGCCGTGATTGGAAAACTACCGCCAAAGTCAAAGTCAGGGTGGGATGGGCGCGACATCGGAGGACAGGATCTCAAAGGGTCTTCGGGGCTGCCACAAGGGGCCGCCGAAAACCTCCTGCCAAGGCCACCCCTTCTCCCCCAGACTCTTCAGCTCAGCCGCAAGGTTTTGTTTGCTCTCTTGACGTGGCCACCGTCAAACAACAAGTGTCACGGGGGTTCACAGACACCTTTGAAACCCTCTGTACTGGTTTTTAGCTATTTTAATAGGAAAGACACCTTAGTATAAAAAAAATTCTATTTCTAAATTAGCTTTTACTACGGAGGCAATCTTCTCACAAGAGAGTGCCAAATATTTCCAAAGCAAAGCCAATTTTATGCCCTAATTGATCCTGATGGCTTCCGTTTACAGGGTAGTTTTTGCTGGAATTCTTATCCAGCCACACATAAAAGTCTTACGCTGCTCCACGGCTGGAAAAGGACGGGTAGGAAGCGTCAGCTTGCATTTACGCTTCTTGGGGGGGGGGGGGACACTCGGCAGCAGGGAGCCCCAGATTTCCATGATCTGAGTTTGTAAAAGGCAGCCTGCTACTGAGGAAAGGAAGCTGAAATGAGACTTAGTCAGAAAATTGAATTTGAATCCTGAGACAGCCACTAACTAGCTCTGCTCAATCAAATTAAAGTTAAGCTTAGTTTTCTTATTTACAGAATAGGGTATTATTGACCTTAAAGATTGCTTATGTGCATGTTGTGCATGTGTATGTAGATGTCATTAGGTAATCAATATAATTTTAACTGCCCAATTAGACAATCTCAAAAATGATATTCTTTTAAAATGTATCCCATGATCTATTGTCTCACTTTCATTGGCTTAATGACCGTTTCACTGTCCTGTAGTTCTAATTCAGAGAGCAAACAGAGAAGGAAAAACACAGTCACGCTCAAGGCGAACATTTTCCCCTACCGTTTTGTAACTGTGGCAGACTGCAAGAGAGCCACCAGCCCCTCCCATCCCCTAGGCATGCCCCTCGGCCACTGTCCTTGCCTTTCCCCTCCTCAGCAGATAAGGTCTGTGCACAGTCCCTTACATCTGGAACTGGCTATGTGACTTGCTTTGGCTAGTGGAACATTATCATGAGCAACATCAGCAGAGGCTTGAAAAATGCGAGCATTTGGGGGTGAGCCCTCCCTGCTGCTGCTGGAAGCCCTCTCACTGGCCACGAGAAGCAGCCCAGGCAAAGCCCACTAGAGAACGAGAGGTGGTGTGGAAAGGGGCCTCTGTCTTCTCAGATACATCAGCCGCCTCAGCTGAGCCTCCAGCGTGTGCATGAGGTCATTCTGGGCCACCTAAGTCCGGCCAAGCCAGTCCCCATGAGAACCCCCAGCCAACCCTAGAGCCACGAGAAATGGTGCGTGTTGTTTAACCCACTAGGTTTTGTTTGTGACTGTTTCTAACATGGCAAAATAACCAATATAGCACCTCTGATAAAACTTGTTTGACCCCGAGCTCTGTCCTCATGGCAACCTCTGAGGACAAGGACGAGCCAGGAGGGTTTGTCTGTGGTGGTACCAGCCTCCCGCTCTAGACACTGAGGTCTTTTAAGTCAATGACCTTATCTTAGTGTGTGTCCCCGGCACTGAGCACAGTGCCAGGAACACAGCAGAACTCGCTAAGTGTAAAAAGAACAGAAGAAAGAGTAAGAGGAGAGTTGGAAGAGAAGGAAAGAGAAAAGGAGGGAGGGAGGAACAAGGAAAAGAGGAAAACATGAAGCACACATCATGAGTGAGTCATGGAGCTACGCAGCATCTCAGGACTGCTGGCTTCTTCACTTAGCCATGGAAGAGCTGGCTGTGACCTTCAAGTGTTAGGGGAGCTGGGGCAGATTATCTGAAAGGGTTAGTAAAGGATCAGAAATTCAATTGTGTCGCCGGACAGGACGACCTGACTCCAGTCCACTTACTTCTGGCCATGACTTTCAGGCCAACGGAAACTCCTCATATACTAACCTCTTTTCTCTGTGATCATAACGAGGGCTTCGTCAGGCAGAACACCTGCCTGCCCCTTCCTGGGAAATATCTGTCCTAATTTCAGATACGCTACTTTAGAATAAAATCCCTTCTGAGATTCTGGGCCTTTCTCCAACTAAGGGTATGTCAGCATGTAAAACAGTCGGGGGCAAGGAAGCAAAACCCACTCCCTGAGCCGCAGGAAGCACCATGGTATAGAAAGCCCTGCTTCCCAACTCACAGGTCCGTGAACTTGCGATGAGGATGCGTCACCACCATGGGTAAGCCGCTGGCAAACGGGGGCTCGCGCAGAACCTGGTACCGCACAGGACTGCAGCCTGCACACAGGGGACTGTGGGGCTGGGAGGTCAGGAGCGCTGCGTCGATCTCCATTCGCTCATCGAAGGTGTAGACCTTCACCCCCAGGACCTTCCCGTCAACGTGCAGTTTGATGGTGAGTGGGGTGTCACAGAAAGTGTCTAGGGGGCCCAGGTGCACAGACTCCTGGTGTTCCAGCAAGATCTCTGTGTCAAAGAGTGCCTGGGAGGAGTCCATGGAGAGGTAGGTGACCCACAGCGTGAGGGTGTCAGCTTGGACCGGATGCTGGAAGAGCAGCTCCAGGCTACAGCCTTCTGCAGGGCAGGGAACGGTCATGTTCATATGGTACAGGTGGAGCTCAGGACTCCAGGCTTGCAAGCTTGGCTCACAGGGCTGGTCCACATCTGGAGGCCCTGAGGGAGATGGACGGAAGCACGGACACATCAGGAACAACTGTTATCAGGTTAGCAGCATCCAGAAAGGAGAGGAAGAAGGAAGCTTTAAACTAGTTCCTAGAGAAGCTGGTCAGCTTAATGGGTTGGGTCGTAAGCAATACTGGGGACAAAGGAGTAAAAATACTGCCTCATCCCATGTCCCCTCCTTGGTGCCTTTAACATGAGCGCTCCTGCTGGGCCCTGGGAGTGGACCAATGTCATAGGTGGGAACATGAGGCTGAGACAGAGCAGTGAAGTCAAGTCCTTACAGATCCTTGAGCAGAGAAGAGTTGTTTGTACTCAGTTTGTTAATAAGTGAGGATAAATTAATGCCTCGGAAGCCCTGTTTTACTGTCAATAAGGCCAATGTTTGTCTCCATCTGACGCCACACTGTTTAGCTGAGCGCCACAAGACTTCCCTCACCCCGACACATGCCTCAGAGCCAGGCGTTCGGTTCCCGCGTGTGTGCGCAGGCCGGTCACTGCACGGAAAAGACGGGAGGGACGCTGCTTGTGCAGTGGGGAGAGGTGGAGAGCCAGGAGCCCAGCAAAAATGCAGTGGCGCAAGTCAATATCGCAAATATATCAAGGCCGGCTCTGTGGGGGGGGAAATCTGTACAGGCAAGTTTCTTTCAAGGCCCATGAGGGGAACCGCAGGCAAAGCATGAGACCAGGAAGGGGCAGGGTCAGGCTCCCGGCAGAGCAGAGCCTTCAGCCTGGGGACTGTGGCCGGGCCTCTTAAGCCTCACTTTCCTCATTTATAATAAAAGTACTATTTCACCCCTATCTTACTAGTGAGTGTGGAAGATTTATACAATGTTCCAGGAAACATTTGCAAACTACATTTACAAAAATTGAATTATTTCGCTCTTCAGAATTTGGAAAATAAACAATATTCCAAAACCCAGAGGAAACAGGTTCAAACATAAGTGGGTGTTGTTCTCTGTGTGTTGTGTGTGTTTCATCTTAAGGTCCTTATTATTTTTTGCCTATATTGTGAATCCATTCATTCATTCATCTTTCATTCAACCAAAGGGGACCACGTACATCTTTTACGTGCAGCACTAATCCAGGTATTGGAGATCAAATATCAGAGAGAGAAAAAGGCCTTGCCATACATATCTTATGATAGGGTGACAGGGGCAGCAACAAGCAGGTGAAAGGTATAAGGGTAATTCCAAGTCGTAATGGCATCTTTGAAGAAAAAGGAAGGAGCACGAGGGGCCAGAGAATAATGGGATGCAGCCGGGGCTGTTGTAGACTAGGGAACCACGAGGTCCTGACTGAGAAGGTGGCATTTAAGCGGGTGTATGTCCGGCCCAGAGTTCCTGTCCCAGGCGTAGAATTTAGAAAGCAGTTGGTGGTCAGGGCGAGTTGGCTCAGTGTATTAAGAGTGGGCAGAGCCCGTCTGTAAGTGTATGTGTTCTGCACACTCTGCGGGGGAGTCAATTACTTTCACTGTGCATATTTCGAGTGTGACTGGGTTCTTCACCCTTTGGAAGCAGAGGAAGACCAGTGCTCCTTAGCAGTATTTTCCGAAGGTCACCCCAAGCGCTGGCAGCGTAAGGGCCACTGGAGGCGGACGTGCCGGCAGCGCTGTCTGTCAGCAAGTTTTACCGCGGCCGCCCGCTGAGGCCTATGGAGGCCCCCGGGGCCCGCCTGGTCGGCCTCGGGACGCGCACTGGGGATTGGAACCCAGAGCTTCTCACTCCTTTCCCTTCTACCAGATAACTTTAAATTGTTCCAAGAATTAAAAAGAAAAAAGTTGCAGGGCCAGAGAGTCAAACAGGCATTAAAACACCAGTACAGGACAAACTGTCTGCCACAGAAACGGCCTTTTGTGAGATGCCAATCTCTAAATGAGTCCAGCGCAATGCCAACGTAAATTTTATAGTAACTTTCCATTCTGTCCTGAGAACCCTCAGCTGAAAGGAGTCCTGTTCAGTGGGTCACGTAAGCTGTCTCCCTCCAGACGCCTCCATGAGGCCCCTGCTGTCTGAGGAAGGGGGAGCCCCGAAGGCGGCTCGCGGACCCTGCAGACCTGCGTTCTCCGTTTTTTCTCATCAGAGTCAAGACTGCAAACTGACTCGAATAGGACCGTGTCCAACCCAGCTGACTGAGTAGTTGTTAGGGCCTTAATAAATATAGGAAAAGAAAAGACAAGTAGGTCAATACGGGAGACAGTGATGACGGAAGTCAAGCCAGTAGTCAGGAGGTGCTGAAACTCACGTCCCGCGTTCTCCCCAACTTGAGCTGGGAGAACACTCGAGCTCCGATTGGCCTCAGAGGCCCTGAGGTACTATGTGGGTGAATACATAACTGAGAAGTTGGCGGAGAGGCACGAACAGGGACAGCTGAAAACACTTCGCCCTCCCAGGGCCCAGCTTAGATCACATCCAAAGCACAACCAGTACCAGCGATTAATAGACTCATAAAATGGCAAAAATGAGATGGTCCGTTTGGAACCCCTGGCGCCCCCCACAGTCGCCCAGGCTGGCTCCACCCGTGTGTGAATGTTCCCTGCAACGTGCTCTGTTTCTCTCCTGGTGGAGAGAGTGACGTGTCACCCACACTGCCCTGCGGCAAGGCTGCTCGACGGGCCATCAGCACAGGTGACCCCGCACGCCTGGGCTCTTGCACCCTGAAGTCTCTGCCTGCTTCAGCTGACTTCTTCATCCCTCGGTGCTCCCTGCTGACCTTTGCGCCACCACAGCCACCAGGCCTTCCCATGAGGCACACGTGGGACACTGGCACACAAAGGTACCAGGCAGAGTGTTTTGCAGCCAATCACACACACATACAAACATACTCACACGCACGCCCCCCTCCACCCTTCTCCACCCCCAGTCTCAGCAACCGCCAAGGTCTGAGTGAAGAAGCCGCGGTCCCTTACCCACTGCCTCCTCTGGGGTCCAGTAGCCTGAGGAGTCACACACGCGCCGGGAGGAGGCCGCGTGCACATACTGACGAAACGCCCCATCTTCAGCGCAGCCGCCACACATGCTGCCCGGGGCCCTGGGGGTGAAGGGGCAGACGGGAGAGTCCATCAGGTGACCTGGGGAACAAAACCCGGAAGCCCTCGGGGGGTGGGGGAGTGGCAACAGGCGGTGAGACCCTGGGGGAAGAGGGAGCGCAACCCGTTCTCATATCATGTCCTTCTTGTGTGAACTTCAGCTTTGTAAAATCGCAGTGGCACTGGGAAACCTCAAGGTTAGGAAGCAGAAGGATCTGGCTAAGTCTCGAAGGGGCCTCGGGGGCGAAGGTGCGCAGCTTCCAGCCTCAGGCACTCAGCACGAAGGAACCGCAACCTGAATCCTTGCGCCTAAAACTCCTTCCTACGCTGACTCTCAGTAAGTCATCCAAGACGCCTTGCATTCCCCTCGCCAAAACAGACACCAATTTTTAGAGTGAACTTTTTTGCTATATGTGGATTTAGACTTAAAACTCCCTACTTTTAATCACATACATAAAATAAGAGTCACATGAACTGCAATATCCCGGGCTCTCCATCACCTATGGGGACACAGTGAATTCCTCACCACGATCCAAGATCCTTCCCGAGACAGCCCCGCCACAAGCCCCACCTGCTTCAGCTCCTTCACAGTGACCTCGCCACCATGCCACAGACACATCACACCCGAGCCAGCGCCACAGTGAAACATGCTCTTCTCTCCTGCCAAATAGCCTCTCCCAACCCCTCTGCTTAGTAAACTTCTACATAGCCTTCAAGACCCATCCAACTGTAGCCTTGGCAGTGGCACTTGGTCTGCTCCTCTCAGTGGCCCGCACTCTCTCCTCTGGGCACCCCTGCACCTCCAGGCTCCTGCCCTGGGGCACTGTGCCGGGGTGCAGGGAACTCCCACCCCCTCTCCTCCTCCTCCGCCGCCACCTGTGAGCAGGTCCAGACCCCAACGGAGCCTGTTCCTTCCACACCCAGCTGCTGGCCCAGGCACTGGCCGCAGCAGTCTCTCCTGGGGAGTGGGCTTTACGGCAGCCCTGAGACTGCTCCTATGGCCCGCAAAGAACTCTCCAAGCACCGCATGTGGGGCCACCGGGAGGAGGACAGACAACAATCGCTCTGTAACAAGAGATAGTCCCTCAATGACGCCCATCTCTGATATTCTCAGTCTTTTTAGAAGCCTGACTATGAACCACACATCTGAAAATGGACACATCAAATCAAGGTTTCTCAGCAGGTAGGGGACAAAGTTATATCTGAAAAAAATACTAGAAGGCTAGTACTTCTACTGAAAAGGGGTCACGATGATGCTCCCAGCCTCTGAGATGCCTGGCATGGTGCCGGGGCACTCTTCATAAACTCTCGCTAATCCCGTCAGAAGCCTGTATCTGCAAGTGGGGGCACTCAGGCTCAGGGCAATTAAATCAATTGCCTAAGGTCACAGCAAGTTCCCTAAGTCCTTTAAGCAAGTCTCCAAACACTGTGAAGTGTCCGGGACTTTGGCAACAAAAAGGTGCCATGTGCTCCAAGCTCCGGCTGCAGTCAGCACGCCCGTCTGTCCGGACACAGCTCCAAACCACACTTCCCTGATGCACTCGGCCCTTCCGGGGGGGCCGCTGCTCAGTGCGTGGTCCAGCGGCGCGCTGACATACGGATTCCAAATACCTGCTGGGGAGGAGTAAACAGAACTCCCAGCGTGACACAAATCACTGGGTGTGTGACGTGCATCGCCCTGGACACACGTGTGGGGAGGCCTCAGCACTGCGGGCCACCAAGCTGGAGAGAGGAAGCAAATGCAGCCTTTTCTGCCAGCAGCCCCACAGCGAGCCAGCACTGATGTCTGCTTTATCGCAACATTTGTACCAGAGGGAGAACGGAAAGATTAAATTGTTTACATGTGTTACATAAACGGGTGTAAAACTCTGCTTTGCACATGCCCACGAGGACTTACTGCTCGGCCAGTCCGAGCAGAGCTACACAAGGTCACACGTCACATGGAGCTGTGCTGACTCACCAAGGGAGCCCGTGAGCTCTTGGGTGCTATGACAATGGGAAGTGCTTTAGAGGATTGTGGGGCCCAAGTGACATCATCAAGTTTTCAAGGACAGGTGGCGCGATCCCAGAAAGATGGGATCACAACTTGGAAAACTGGTTCGCCTGCTCCCCCCGCCATCCCTGCGCCTCCCTGCCCCCTCGCTCAGCTTCAGGAAACATGATCCAGGGGCCCTTAGCTGGGGCCTTCACCCCCAGGGGAAGTGTGACACAGAGAAGAAGGGTTATCTGCCTGGGATACAGGACAGCTCTAAATTGCAAGAAATAATGTATCCCCTGGTCCCCCTTTCTGAAGTTCCATGGGTGCCCCCAGATTCATCTCTCTATACTTGGGGGGCCTAGGCTAGTGTTGTGTGCTTCCCTATGTCTCCAACGTCTCACACAGCAGGGGTCGTCCTTACTGTGAGCACCAAGTAAGAACACTGCAGGCCACAGGCCTGGCACCAGGCTCCCCACACGGGAGGGCCGAGCAGGCCTCCGCCACTCCTGTCACTCGGACTGCAGTGGCAGGCTTGGCAGCAGAGAGCCCGCGCAGTTCACAGACGGGGCGCTGGTCCTTCTCATTGAAGCACACTCCTCTCTCCTCCCACCGTCAAATGTCTTCTTTTTCCCCCTTCTCTCCTTTGGACAAAAACATTCCTGGTGTTCATTTACACCGATGTGCAAAGGAGGAGTAAAAACTGATTTCAGATACACTGATTCTCTTCGCTAGACATGTGTTGGGTGTCTACCGTAGCAGGCCAGGACACAATGGCGCTGCCAGCTGCGGAGGGCAGAGAGAAAAACAACCAGAGAGAGATGATGCCACAAAACGGCAGCCGTACGTGGGTGGGCACCAGGCACACCAGGAGGCGGAGGGCACTGGGAACACCCTCGTGAGCCAGGTAAGCCCCAAGCACCGCATGTGGTCGAGGGCCGCCTGCCGTCCCCCACCCCTAGAACTGACTGCAAGAACATACCTCACTTCCCTTCCCCCCCAACACTGCTGTGCAAGCAGCAAGCCTCTGCGTCACCCTCACCCCCAAGAGAAGGGCTGACCTGGCCAGGCAGCAAATGCCACCTCAGTTTTGTCAGTTCTCCTCTATCCTATTGGGCAACCTCTTCACCGCTCCCAAAAGCCTGCCAGATGTGACTTTCTGCAGAAGACACGTACGGGGCCCCTCACCAAGGCATGAGCACAGGTAAGCAGCTGCTGGCTCCTGCGCAGCCCCCGAACCCCGCTGCCAGAACGGGGCTGAGCAGGCCAGAGGGGGAGCCCCGGCAGCGGCTCGTGCTCACGGTTCCCCATGGAGCTCCCCAGCCTCCACGCGCTCCCCTGGTGCGGGAGGGGCCCCACAGAGGCCACACTCCGGCCCCACCATGGCGAGGGCCCCCTCACCTGTCGTACACAACTCCACTGATGGGAGGCAGCCAGTGGATGGTGAGCGACTCGCTGGTCTGCCCAATGACCACGGGTGGGATGGGAATGGGGGTGGGCTTCTGGCTGTCGCTCCACTGTTGGTACACAAGGTCCAAATAGCAGTGCATGCGGGCTACCTGGTTGGGGGTGAAGCTGTCAGTGCAGTTGTCATCTGCGGAGATAGAAGAGGGAACAGGGGAGGTGGAGGTTTTAGCCTGTAAATGCTGCCATGGCGGGGACACCTTCTGCCTTGTCCACACCTGTGTCTCCAGCAACTAACGTGACACGTCACACTGATAGGCTCCACGAATACCTGCCAAATGAATACAGTATTCTGTCCCAGACCACATCTCAGCCGAAAATGGGGTGGGGCAGGGGAAGGAGGCAAAGAACAGCACTTGCTCATCTCTAAACCTGGGCCATCACCTTGACCTTGGGCTGGGCCAGGGTGGGCCCAGGGGGACAGGGCTGCCCTGAGCTGACGGCTGCTTATTCAGGAAGCCACAAGGTGGCAGTGTTTCAGCAAATGGCCTTTTTAGGCAGGACCACGTGTGAAGCTGCAGACACCTGCTCAAGGCCCGGTGACTTTGGCCAAAGCAAATGAGTCTTCAGTGAAGATGCTCAACGGGAGACAGCGCCAAAAGGTCCAGGAGGCAGTGGGACTGGAACTGTGGTCCCCACCTCACTTTTGGAGCCGGCTAAATCTCCCCACTGGATACATTTTTTTGGAGCATTAGAAAGGGAGTTATCTTAGTTTCAGGCCTTTTCCGAAGAGAGCTCACCAGTCAAACACCCCCCTCTGCTTCCTGGGGGTCTCCTCTGCCCGCCTCAAAGGCAGGACATAAACAGCTCTGTCCTCTGCAGCCCACTCCCCCATCGCTCTGCCCTGGCAGGGCCCCTATGTCATTGTTAGAGGCTGGGAGGGTGGGGACAGAGTGCTGACCCTAATGAATGTGAGGCCCTGGAATTTTACACCAAAATGAGACTTGGGCCAGGATTTACTGATAGGCTACAGACAGGTCCTGCTCACCACCCCTCCTTCCCTTCAGAGGCAAGGCCAGGGTCCTAGGGTTTATTTATTGTTATTGTTTGGATAGTTCTAGAACCTATCACCAAACAAGCCCCTGGACCTTATAGAAAAATTATCTCCTCCTCTCGCCACTGGAATACGCCATTAAATCAAATCTGTCCTTAATTTGAGGAAATGATAAATCTGAATCCATTAACAAGGGACTGTGACTAGTATTACTTTTTGCCAAGAACAAGGAAGGTGTCAGGGGACAGAGAAAAAGCATAATCCAGGACAGCAAAATCAGACAATACAGTTGTTCCCAAAGCCAGGAAAGTATCACTCTTTAATTTTTTTAAGGTTTTGTTTATTTATTTTTAGAGAGAGGGGAAGGGAGAAAGTGAAGGAGAGAAATGTTGATTGGTTGCCTCTCCTACAAGCCTCCTGACCAGGGACCAAATCTGCAACCCAGGCATGTGTCCTGACCAGGAACTGAATCAGTGACATTTAGCTTTGCAGAATGATCCCCAACCCACTGAGCCATACCAGTCAGGGCAAAAGTATTTTTTTAAACGAGAGGACGCCGTTTTGGGAGAGGGAAGGTAAGCTAAGAATCAGCAGTTGGCTCATGTTGGAAGAAGAGAATCTGATGCTTCAAAATAACACAAAATGAAAACAAATCCTGAGTTTAAAATAAACCAAGGCCACTTTCTTGACCAACTTCAAAAATATGTAGTACAAAGAGCCACCTTGACCTGGAAACCTCTTTTCCCATCGCTATTAGAACTCTTTCAGAAGAAATGCCTGAGAATGTGGACAAGAGTGAAAATAACCAAGTTGTGGAAGTCAAAGGCATCTCAAGAAAGCTTTGGTTTTGTTCCTGTTTTCAAATGTCCAACACTGAAGTATATTTTTCTTCTGACTTCTAGAAAAGGAGAATCTAGTCAATGAGACCTCTTTACTAGGTCTCAGTATTTCTTTAAGTTCTTCAAAGACATGAAGAACAGGCCGTGAGACACTCACTTCGACTCTGGCAGGAGTGACTGCTGGATAATCCCCTCTGCCTCCTGCACCCTCCCAGCCCCCAAGTGCCCCCTGCAACCTTAGCAGAAAACAAGCACCTCGAGACGGCTGGGATACCTGTGTAGCTCATGTAGTTGCTGAACGGAGCCCCAGGAAAGTGGGTGAAGCCGCAGGTGTCGTTGGTGGGCTCTGGGTCGCGGCACAGCTTACTCTTGGGGGTGGGGGCGGTGTCGGCACAGAGGTCCCCGGTATCCATGGAGGGCACCGTCTCCCTGCAGGGGTCATCACAGGACTCTCTTTCACTGACGCCTTTGAAGACATGGTAGAGTCCCAGGACATGCCCCACCTCGTGGATCATGATGTTGGTGTGGCCAGGCATCCCATAATAGGCCGGGTTGAGGACGACACCACCTGCAAGGGAAGGTTTGGAAAACATCTCTGAGCACCAAATGTTCCATGTCCGCCTCTATGGGGACACATGATAACTTCTAGTGGCCTTGGTTCCTGCCCTTCCCTCTGGCCACAAACACCCTCTGAGAGAATCGGTGAACATGTCATGACCCCCGTTCCGGGGATAACAATACAGACAAGATGGCCTGGCAGAAGGAAGGATGCACGTTAAGGGAAGTCCCGCGGTCTGGGGCGGCTCACAGTAATTCCTCCCACCAGAGCCCACGGCTACGGAGCCGCACTGGACGAGAACTTCAAGGGCTGACTCTAACTGGCTGTAGGCCCGCCCTCTGCCCTTGAACCTTCTCCCAGGCTCCCCATCTCCAAGATGAGGGGGCTAGCCAGCGCACCCCAAAGCTCCCTTCCAGACCTCCCCGGGCCACTAAGAGCTAATGAGCAGGACCATGTGAGACAACCACAAACACCACGTGCAGAAATTCGTGTCACCACCTCGGCCTTGTAACTTGTGTCCCAAGATTCCGTCTCCCCGCAGCCCGAGGGGCAGGGGAGGCCTGAAAGGAGCGGCAGCAGACAGTCTGTCCTCGGGTCTGCCACGGGCCTTCCTGGGGCCCAGGTTCTCTGCCTAGAGGCAGGCGCGGCCTTACCCCCGCCACGCTGTCCTGCCTCCCTCTCCGCTGCACACAGCGGCCCGCACTCATCCCCTCTCTGTTGCAGCTACGGCAAACTTGTTAGTAATTATTAGAGGGGTGGGTCCTAACTCACACACGTGTACCCACCCCCCTTATGCGGAAGAGAGGAGAAAAACATTCATTATTTCATGGTTTAGTTTGTAAGAGTTCTTTCAACTTTCGATAAAAAAAAAAAAAAATGGCACAGGCACCATGTCTTGACCAAAAATGAGAGACACATACGCACACACATTTCATGCCAAAGCCTCACTGGGGCAGAAAGACCCGTTGCCCGAAATCTAAAGGGGAATGCAAGAACTTTTCATAAAGAAGAAACAAGGCAAGTAATAAATAAAAACCGAGTTCCCCAGAAGGGCCCCCGGCCTGCCTCTCCACCACCTGGGTCCGGCCAGCGAGGGTCTGAGGCCCGGGAACTCCCACCCTGTCAGGGAAATGTGCACCCTTGCCCCAGAGCGCCGGAACAGGCGTGGTGAAACCACGGCACCATCGCTGCTTTCCAGTACCATTTTATGTTCGTGTTCAAAGAAACCAGCATCATCTTCTGACGCGGCTACCTATACTTTTCCATTTTCACGACCAGCAACATGGGCCAGGCTCTGAGCGTTGCTGTGGGTCCTCACGCCACTGCGGGGAAGCCTCTCTCACACAGGACAGCCTCTGCAGTGACCAGGGCCCCTGCTCTGGCTGTGGACACGCACTGGGAGTGCACTGACCCTTACCTGGGGGAACATTCCTTGGAAGCTCCCAAGACCATTTCCTGATCTCTTCAATGGTAATAACAAGAGTTTCTACCTTGAAGGGTTGTCTTGAAGACTGGAGCAGTCACGTAGACAAATAACCATTTAGCTTATTTTCTAGAACAAAGTTACTCAGAAAGAGCTTTAGACCAGTTGTCAATACCACTGTAGTTATATCCCGCAGCCTGGCCACACACGCCCATCTGCCCCACCCTGCTGGCTCCCTCCTGACCACCTACTTTCACCCAGAGAATGGAAGCCAGAGTGTGGCCGCGGGCAGGGCAGGCCTTCCAGAGGAAAGCCAGGCGTCGCCAGGGGGAACGGGTGCACACCCTCGCTCACGGGGCTCGGACCCACCCCGAGGCTGCTCCTGCTTGGTTTCCACATGGCTCTGTTCCTGAGCCTGCAGGCACCCAGAAGACAGGCGAGGATGGGACAGAGCTGAAAGCAGACCGGTGCCCATTCTCTTCAGAGACAGCACACTGGCATCCAAAGTTACTCACAGTAGCCTGGATGAGTGATGGCAGTAGGAAAAGAAGTATTATGGGATTGGGACTGCTGGCTTGCTTCTTCATAGACTTTGCAGGTAGGTTAGGTGTATACAAGACACTTTTATTTTGTAGTGCCAACCTATCTTTCCCTTCCCACTTCTCTAGTTACAGGAAATACGATTATCATTTCCTATATTCGAAACCACTGTTCATTTTTGTTTTTCCTCGTCTTGGAGGAGGATCCAAACACAGGCAAGGGATACAGTGCAGTGTTGCAATGGGGAAATGGGATTCCCTGCCCATCCTGTTCTCACTTGCTACACTGAGGCAGGACTCGGAAAGACACGCCAAAATATGGTTTCAGCCATACCAGGGCCCCTCAGTCTTCACTCTGAGACACTATCAGACTCTCCTTGCCTTGGTTCACCTTCCCAACACCTGTCCAGCAACACAGCCTGGAAACTAGTGCCAAGGCCTGAAGGACCCACGCAGGGCAAGTGAGAAGCAATGGTCTGAATGGAGGGCCAACAATCCGGAAATACTAACACTTGACCCCAGTGGCCCCTTGCTTCCCTCCCCCTGTCTCCATTGCCAATTCAGGACGCCAGACCCTCCTGCATGCGCTCATCACCCCACTGGGTAACAGAGGACAGTGTGAAAAGCCAGGGAGGAAGACGTCCTTTTCTGGCTGCGAGGCTTCCAAAGCCTGTGATACTTGGGCCTCGCGAGGCCCCCAGGGTTAGCCAGCACGTGGATGTACACAGGACAATGAGCCTGTTGCGTGTTACCAATGCCGTTGCTGCGGCTCAGCCTGGAGGAGAGTCTCCTAGGCTGGAGGAAGAGAGACGCCATCGAAGGAGAAGAGCGGGCATGTACAGATGGTGGTGGGACCAGGTAAGATGGACTGTGCTGCCCCTCTCGAGACCCTGGTAAAGGGGCAAAGAGATCAAGATTCAAAACAACGCATGTGGTCTGACTGTGGGGATCTTGCCTCCTTCCGGGGATGAGTTCCTGGCTAAGCGCCTAGTTCTAGAGAAGAATGGCTGACCAGTGAAGCTAACAGGGAAGGAGGCAGAGGGACTCCGGACACTCCCCAAAGATGGGACCTGTGACAGGAGCAAGGGTCATCTCAGGGGGCTGGCATCAGCTGATAACTGAGGACAAAATGGTCCTTTCCCCTAAGGCCTTGGCATTGATAAGCCATGCTTACATTAGATACAGCCCCAGGCAAACAAGCTCAGTTGCCTGAGAGTAAACTTCTACCACCCAGCAACACTGGGGCTCAAAATAGAAATTAAGTTCAATGATAGGAGAATAAATAAGAGTGACATGTCACACGTACCTAAGTGTATAGACTGGGCTTGAACCCACCACCTGCCAGCAGCACTAAGTGTATGTAGAAGAGAACGTGAATGGGGCTCCGGGACTCGGCACCTGGTGGCCATGTGTAGAACAGCTGCTGCCTGATGGTCTGCGGCAGAGCACAGACGCCTTCCCAGAAGACCTTTCAGCCTTGATTATCGAGGACGAGCTAACACAGAAAGACAGGGTTGCTGTGTGGTCTAGGGGACGGTGCAGGGGAAGAAAAAGAGAGGGGAGTTGCTGATTAAAAGATGAAATCTAAGTAGCGGACAGCCAAGCTCCAAAAGTGACACTGCAGTCTCAGCTTCCAACTGGCTTTTCCCAGCTTCACCATCAGACCATGGTGAAGAGAGATTCCCAAAGCCACTTCCGTCAAAAAACAAAACAAAACAAAAAAACAAAAAAAAAACAAAAAACTCTCAGGCAGTTTGAGAAAAAGGACACAAGTGGTAATGACCTTAAAACAGTTCTGTAAAACTTTTAGGGCTGAACATTATATGCCCATAAAACACGGAGGCTGAGGGCTGGTCTGCAGGTGCCTATGTAATTGCTTCCAGTTACTGGCTAAAAAGCGCTCCCCAGAAGGGACTGTTCGCAATGAAGGGACAAAACTACCCAAGGGTGTCTGGGGGTCCAAGGAAGAAGTGAAGGAAGTAGCAGAGGTGGACTGATAGCACGAAGGGAGAGAAAGAAATGGCGAAAGTTAAAAAAAAAAAAAACAAACAAACCACAGAGCTAGTAAAAGCAGCACATTTTTAACAGAACCTGATCAGAAACCATTCATCTCCAAACCTTGCACTGGCTTCTTACTTTTACAGCCTGTGGTCTCATTAGATGGAAGTCCTTACTCTGGGCAAGACTAAACCAAGACAAGAATGTGAGGAGGGTGAAGATTTTTCAGAGTCTGGTGTTATTTGTTTTTTGGGTTTTTTTTTTTTCTGGTCTCCTTTTGTACCCTTTCAGCCATTCTTACTACCAACTGTCAAGTACACTGGGCTCTCCACCTACTCCCACCTCCTGGGAGAAAAGTCATCCAATCACTAACACGAAAGATGTTGTTACTGAGGCACTGGAGGCTTATGATGGAATTCTTTCCCGGCTTCTGATGAGGGCAGTGCTTCAAAAGCGCACGTGCGTGCACACCTTCCCATGACACTGCATGCCAGAGTTTTAGGCACTACAGAATATGCATTAAAATGTATTTTCTATAAGACACTTACTAATTTAACATTTATTGAGCATCTATGCTATGTCAGGCACTGTTCTGGGCACCAAAGAGTCAATGATGACTACGATATGTTTTGAAAGAGATAAAGGTTTTTTACAGTATATGTAATAGTCACACATAAAGATGATTATTTACTCTACCTATTTATAAATGCATGAACCTACCTTTGGGGCACCCCAATTTCAGGGCATGAAGTTCATATCCTAGGGTAACTGCCTCCTAAATTTTCAATATCCAAGAGTGCTTACCCAAGTTTGAAAGCCCTTGGTAGCCAGGATAAGCCCATTTGCTGGAAGCCATCTTCTGACAATTAAACAATAATCTACGATAGCAGCCAGGGGGTAACTCCCAGACCCAGCCCCTCTCCTGTTTATGTCATGGAGCCTGTCTCATTAATGATTCTAGAATTCCTCATATTTCCTTGGTACAGTCCAGGGTACATATCTTGTTTATTCCTCGTCTCCAGGAAGAATCGCTCTGCTTTGGCACCATGGAGAGAAGACCAGTGGACAGGGGTTAATATCTTCTCTGCTCTGGACCAGCCATTTACTGACCAGTTGCACCAGAGCTCCCCTCATTCCCTCCGACAGACTCCTCTGCCTCCCCACTCTGCTTTCTGCACCAGCCCTCGCCCAAACCTCCTGGCGGAGATGACCAGAGACTTCCCATCTGTCTAGTCCATGGTTGCTCCAGCCCGAGGCCTCACCCACATTGTGCATGAATGTGGCCCAGCTGATGTCGCGTCCTAACTTCAATGTCAACCGTTTGGTTAGGAGGAGGTTGAGGTTTGTCCTGGGAGGCCCCCCAGGGGCCTAGAGAAGAGTGACAGAGCCTCTTCTCTAAGCTGGCCAAAGCGCCCTGTGCTGACCTCCTCTCTGCAGCGCTTGCATCTGTGGGCCACACGGAGCTTTCTCAGACCTCTCTCCCCTTCGGGGGCTGGTACACCCCTAGGTCCTGCCCCTCCTCGTCCTTCTGTTTAAGTCTCTTCAGGGTCAGACCTACGGAGACCCCAAACTCAACATACCCAAAACCAAACCAGCTCCCCATTCACACTCTCTTTCCTACAGTTTCTACCTGGACACCCCTCTTCATTCGCTCAGTCAAAGAGAACTCTTTCTGTCCCCATTTACTTACTTACATGAACAATGTTTCTCAGTCCTTAGAGCTATATAATTTTTTAAAAGCAACATAATGAATACTAGACCCTGTCTTGTTACAGCAATAATTACTATTTATCCACAGACACAAGAACTAATTTGGGAAAGAAAAGCCATACTCAGCTCATTAAAATATGCATTTCCCATTTTGTTTACTAGTTATTAATCAACAATTAAAATGTAGATTTTGTTAATTTTGATCAAGTAATCATTTCAAAAGGTAACTCAACTGAGAAGAAACTGTCAGCAATGTAAAACTTAGGATCCATACTGGTGTTAATATCCTGTTTGTGATGTTGTATTATAGTTTTGTGAGATGTTACCTTTAGAGGAAAATGGGTACAGGGTCTCTTGAATTTCTTTGTGTTATTTCTACCACCACATGTAAAACATGCAATTGTATCAAAATTAAAAGTTTAGTATAAAATTTATTACAAAAAATTTATTTAATTCAAAATGTTTTTTTGCAAATAGGTAAGCAATTAAAGACTGGGAAAATAAGCGTGTACATGCAACGTTAGTATAAAGTTCTATAGGGGAAATGAAATGGAAACACAAATTCAAAGAGAAAAAGGATTCGTAATTTCCCGATGTTAAAAAAGTGCATGGTCACAAATTTTTAGAAATAAATGATAGTGATCATTAAACTGTTATGCTATTGAGGATACCCTTAGAAAGGTAAATTTAAAGTGTCAATCATTTAAAACAGTATATCAGAAATTCTATTATTTACAATTATTTACAGCCACGACTGAGTTTTTAGATGTTACTCTTAGACTGTACGAGGGGTGCAGAGTTTTTCCCAAGGCTGTTAGGGGTAGGAGAGAGGAAAAATAAACGTGAAGAGCACAGCTCCAGCCAAGTACATTCCACTTCTAAGCACGTCCGGGCTTTGACAGCCTGAGCCTTGGCACCCACCGGCTCTCTCGGTCTGGAACGCCCCCTCACTGTCTGCCAGGCAAGGCTCTCTCAGCCCTCCTCTGGAGTCACAGCCCCTGGGAACTCTTCCCAGATGCTTTCGGTACAATGTAGCACTTTCTCTCCTGCACCTGCCTGACCTCATGTGTGGTATCATCACATTGTACCGTGTGTATTTACATGTCTGCCTCCCACTTATGCTATGCAAGCCTTTAACCTTTAAGGTGAATTCCTTTCTCATCCTGTCTCTGGTGCTGCCACACAACAGATTCAACAGGGTTTGAATGAATGAATGAATGAATGAATGACCATAAGCCTGGGATTCATAGCTTATAAGAGGGCTGTTTTACCACTTAAATTAGTCCCCTGCCTTTGAAGATATATTTTCAATTTAAGTGTTGGGTATTAAAGCTAAAGACACTCAAACTGCTGCACATTAGAGTTCAAGGGGACTTCACGCGTTCATTTATTTATTTAAAAAATTCTGTCCTGCATTACCAGAGCACTGAAAGTACAAAATCATGTTAACAGGCAGAAATGGTGGGAATGGCAAAGCAGGGCCACAAATCACCTTGGTCTTTTCGGAGAGTCGCTGAAGCCATTGGTTGTCAGAAATAGGATTTAATCCTCAAACTTTCAGGCTAGTGGACTTATCTACTTGGCCACTCAGCTGACCCTCAAAATGCAGGTGTTTTTACATGTTAACACAAGCAGGTAACCTTAAATCTTGAAAAGGCCCTATTTAGAAAAATCCTAAATGTCTTCCTCTATCATGCTATACCAGCTGCCTGTACTACTCTGCTCCTGGCTTAGGTCAATACAACTCCTGTCCTGCATGTTGACACAAACAGATAATTTTAAGTCTTGAAAGGACTCTATTAAGAAAATCCTAAATGTCTTCCCCTTATCCTGTTATACCAGCTGTTCGTACTACTCTACACCCGGCTTAGGTCAACGCAATTCCTTTGTTCAAACACATTATGGTTAAACAAGGAGAAGTAAATACAAACACGAGCAATTTCATATCGAGTCAGATCTCTCAGCTGCTCAGCCTGCTTCTGAAAATGACACTACGTATCATGCTGTAGGGGAACACGGCCATTCCTAGGGTGTCTAAGAGTAAAATGTAAGGGTCCCCAGCTTCTTTTGCAATTCCTGATAAGTCAATAATTCATGGGATAATTCTGGAAGACATTTAAATTTAGCAGTTTCGCTCATGAATTCATTCATCCCTTCCTTCAGCGAGCACTCCCAGAGCACCTGCTGTATGCCAAGTGCTCCGCTTCCACACAGAGGCCACGGACCTTCGTCAGATCTCACAAGGCCTTACATGTACTTCGTGAGTGTGTGTGTGCGCCTGTGTGTGTGTGTGTAGCTCTCTGCAATTTTATCCCAGGGATACCTTTGTGTAATCACTACCACAATCAAGCTACGTAACTGTTCCATCACCATTTAGGTCTCCCCTCTGCTACCCTTTCTGTCACAGCCACGCTCATGCCCCTCCCCCATCCCCAACCCCTGGCATGCATTAACTTGTTCTGTTTCTGTAGTTCTATCATTTTGAAAGGACTACATAAATGGGATCATACAGCATGTAATCTGGGGGATTTTTTTTTTCACTCAGCATAATACCCTTCAGATTCATCCAAACCATTCCATGCATCAATATATATTCCTTTTTAGTGCTTAGTAGTATCCCACTGCACTACAGATGTAATACAGTTGCTTTAAGCAGTTAGCACTGAAATCGCTTTTGTCATTCCCAGCAGCATGAAGCTATTACAAATAAAGCTGCTATGAAGACTGCTGTAAAAGTTCTTGAATGGGTATATGTTTTTGTTTCTCTATGATCAATGTCCAAAAGTCCAATGGCCAGATCACATGGTAGGCGTATGTCTAGTTTTATAAGAAACTGCTACAGTGTTCCGCAGAGTGTCTGAGCCATTTAACATTCCCACCAGCAATGGACAAGAGCTCTAGTTTCTCTGCATCCTCACCAGCATTAAGTACTGTCATTATTTTAAAGCGTTATTAAAGTATAGTTGGCGTACAATATCATATTAGTTTCAGGTATACAATATAGTAATTTGACATTTATATACCTTATAATGTGATCGCCATGATACTAACCATCTGTCAGCATGCAAATGTTTTACATTATTGACTATATTCCCTGTGCTGGACCTTATTCTAATAAGTGTGTAGTTATATCTCATGTGGTTTCAATTTGAATTTCTCTAATGGCTAATGATATTGACCATCTGTTCCTGTGCTTAGTTCCCATCTGTTTATCCTCTTTGGTAAAATATTTGTTCATGTCCTTGTCCATTTTCTAACAGGAATGTTTGTTATACTGTTTGAGTTTTGAGAGTTCTTTATATATTTTAGATACGAATTCTTTGTGAGACGTATGGCCTGCAACTATTTCTTCCAAGTCTAATGTCTCTTTGTCTGTCTTAATAGTCTTTCTCAGAGAAAAAGTTATAAATTTTGATAAAGTACAATTATCAGTTATTGTTTATATGCTTTTGGTGTTATGTATAAGTTTCCTCTTCATGCAGGCCTGCCCTGAAGATTTTCTCCTATGTTTCTTTCAAAGGTTCTATAGTTTTGTTTTTTATATTTAAATCTATGATCTCTTTTGAGTTAATTTTTGCACAAGGTGTGAGATTCACATTAAGATTCATTTTCTTTTGCCTATGGACGTCCAATTCAATGCCTTTTGTGGAAAGTGCTTATTGCCTATTGTCTGTAGTATATGTAAGAATATTACCTCCTTTAGCTCTCAGAGTGGTAACACAGTCCTTCTCTCTTATGTTTTTATTGGTAAATCTTTCTAGGGGTTTATCAATCCCTTTTCCCTCCCTCACCAAAAAACTTCTGGTTCTGTTAATTTTTTTTAATTAAAATTTACTTTCTATTTTATTTATTTTTTTTCTCTTATTTTTATCAGTTCCTTTTGTCTTCATTCTTTTGGTTATGCCCCGGAGACATAAAACAGGTCTCGTTCCACGTCATCGCTGTATTTACACCCAAACCACAGGTTTGGCCTAGAACATCCTGAGTATCTCCCACCATTTGCTCTAATGCCTCTCACTTGTCTGCATTGAAACACTTTGACAGATTCTCCCAAAAGCGATTCTAGGCCAAAAGCAGCTAATTCATTAAGTAAATGTATGTTTTCTCTTTCTTTTTCCCCAAACTCACTTTCACAAACTCTCTTTGGGCCTCCTCCTGTTTTCAACCATATTGAGTCTGCACTTCACTTACCCAGGTGACTGACGGCTTCCTTGTCCCAAGGCCAGGTGGCGGCACCGGCAAGGTCTTCCCTCACTGAGCTGGCAAAGTAGACGTTGAGGAAGTGCGTGCTGTTGAGCTGCAGCGCCTCCTTCAGCTCCTTCACACTCATGTAGGCCCTGGGTGGGGTAGAAGGGGAGAGCGTCATGCGGGGGTCCGCACGCAGAGGGAAGCAGAGCCATACTGCTCAGACTCTGACACCTCCAGCGCTGCCTTTCATGGGGGCAGGGAGGCAGAGAACAGACTGCCATGAAGACCACAAAAAAGGCACCAACACATATTGGGAATATTTATTCCCACATCAGTGATGTCCTACATTGTTAGCATTATAATATTTAAATGGAAACTCAGCATTTGACATTATATTCAAGTCCCCACTCTACACCCAGATGATTTCTTCCTGATAAATCCAGTGAGACGCCCAGTTCTGTGGTCTGAGAATGACCCCCAGACCATGCTGAAGAAGGCCTCCAGACTCTCGGTCCCTGGCTCCTCCCGTCACACAGCAGTTTGCATGACGACGAGAAGGCCAACTGAACCTTTATTTCAGTGCATGCCTGTTTCCAGGTGTTATTGCTTAAAAGGAAACAGTGGCTATGAAAGAAAGTAAAAGAGATGAACAACAGGTAGGAAAGGATATCATAAAGCTACTGCAAAGAATATTTATTATATATATTTTTTTCTCTTTCTAGTCCCTTAATCCACAGAAACTCTACTCCTACTTCAACTACCTTATGATACCAAGTACCTTTATTGGTGGTCTTCAAAGCACTAGGCAATATTATGTTTATACCTACACACAGAATCAAAGGTCTTTAACACAAGCCCTGTGGCCCATTAAAAAAAAAGAAAAGAAAACAAGTATTTGATCGCTTTATAAGCTCATATATGTAGTCAAACACCTTCATCTCCCTGGCATCAGGGAAATATAAAACTTTCCCATAAGCAAAGAGCTCCTGCCGTGCTCACTGACAAGCTCTTCTAAGAGGGAACGATGAAACCATGGTCCGCCTGTCCGAGGAGGAGGATGTTCTTATCACGGCCCCGACTGGACCGACTGTTCAGTCAACCTCAGCTGGACTGCACTTCACAGTTGCTATTCCAGCAGACAAGCTGCTAGCAATAAATCTCCCACCCCAGAAGCTCATGTTAGAACAGCAGGAGCCTTCTTCCCTCGCTGCTTGGTCTCCCGGCCACACTATGGATGTCATCTACTTAAGCCGCATGCAGGACGTACTCACAGGGGGTACCCAAGAAAGAGAGACCCCACAGATTGTTTCTGTATTCTTTGGAACAGGACCAAAAAGAAAAATAAAAGTAAAGAAACAAAAATGATTTTGCTCTAGAACAGCCAGAGATGCTTGGGAGAAAATGGATTTGAAAAAGATTCTTTCTTATCGAGCTATATAAGACCTTGGAAAAATCGTTCTCAGCCCCCCAAAATCATCCAGTTCCATAAGGTGATGTCAGATGTGATTGATCAGAGGGATATTCCTTCTGCTGCTTTCCTGGAGACATTGTGTTTTTTGGACTGTCGCCTGGTTTTCCCTGAACATTAGTCACATCCTCTTTCCCTTTCTCCTTTATTAACAATTACAATTTCCTCCACTGACAAATTGATGGCTTGGAGCTGTGATGACATCAAATAATTCTTCAACATGGAGATGTTTTAGTAGGCCAGAAGAAAGGGGCAGAGGGGGCAGATGGGAGAAGAGAGGAAAGAGGAAGGGAAGGGAAAAGAGAAAAAAGGGGAAAAAACCCGCAGGGAGAACGAGAGCCGGTGCCCCTGTACAGCCCAGGCACCGCGGGAGAAAAGCCACGCCTTCCCTGTTTCTACTCCAGAGTTCCCAGGGAAATTAGGGGCCATGAACTGGACGGTCCCCTCCCTTTTCCACTCCCTCACTTTCCCAGGTCCGCCGGGCCCGGCTGTGGTTCACTTGGGCTTTCGTGTGTCACTGGCGTCGCCATCTGCCATTTCCCAGTCTTGGCCGCCGTCACCTATCTGTCCTCCCTCAACCCGGCAGCTCCGCTCGTGTCCCTCGGCGCACCCTCCAAGAGGCCTCCTCCTCCTCCACCGACCTCACTGGCTGGTGCCACTCATCCCCCGCTTCTCCTTGCCCAGCCCTCTCTTCAGCCATAAACGATCCTTCCAGATGAGAGCGGTTATGTCGCACCGGTGGCAAACTGGGTGTGGTCACTCCTGCACTCCACAGAAACACAGGCAGAATCGGCACGGACGAGGGAGAATACACACTAAAATGCCTGAGACAGTTGGAAACAGTCATTCATCAAATGGATAGAAGGAAGCCTTGTTTCGATGGGACAAGGATTTTTGTCCAGAAGATTCCCTAAACCAAAAAGGGTAAAAATACAGATGTCGGTGCACCCGCTTTGCTTATAGAATGCCCGCCTACTGTGACACACACACCCCCCACTTCAGAAGTTCAATCAGAGCGAATGAAGACGAACAGCTTGCCAATGAATGGGACCCGAGCCTGCCTCAGATGGAGGGTGGGAAAAGCTGGTTATTATTCATAAACACCGAGCTCAGCAAGTTATTAAGAGAGAGACTTGCTATCCAAAAGAACTGATATTCAATAGAAGGTAAGAGCACACTCATAGCTGTCACAGGAATCATGAGCGCGTGGACTGGCCAGAGCTGCGTGGGAAACGCGAGAAGGGCCGCATCAAGCTGCATACTCCCCGCCAGGACCTGCCTTGCCTCATCCAGACCACACTCCAGCCTGACGTACTCAGCACTCACTGTATCTTCTCCGTGCGGGCCCAGATCAACTAAGGCAAAGCCGCGTGTCTCTTTTTACAAAAGCTGTCTCTGAAACAAGCTCTCCGCAAGGCTGACCTAGCACGGCGCGGTGACCACTGCCCAAGTCCGTGACTTCCGACGTGCTCCCTGAAAGAAGCACCCTGCCTGCCTCGCCACCTTCACGGCTGCTACCTACTGGTTTGGGAGTACCCACTGCCCGGCATCCAGGCCACTCTACTTCGTCCCCCAGATTCGGCACATCCACTTCGAGTTCTGCCTTGGTCCCCGGCCGCTGCTCCCACCACACTCCGAGATCAAGCGCACATGCAAGTCCCAACTCTGGCTTTGTTTCTGACCCAGTAAAATGAAAGGACTCTCTATTTTAATAGTCGGCTGATTAACCCTTTTATAGACTGATAGATATAATCCAAAATTACAGCTGGAAAGAAGAAAGAAGATCTTGAGCTGTGTGAAGGGAGTTGAACCAGTATCAAAAACCGGCATGTTAACAAACAAGACATAAGGGTGCGTGCGGGCCCTACGACTGGGACCTGGGGCCCTGCTTCCCAGGCCGAGCAAGCCCTGTCCTGAGGATGGTCCTGACTGCATCCCACGGGCGGGAAAAAAGCCAGGTGCCCTCCAGAACCCTCAGCCAGTTTCCTCACAGAAACAACTTGTGCCAAAGCAGGGATGTTTCGGTGTGGTTAAAGCTAAGCCTTGCTGCCATTGCTGCACACCATGGTTCTCTGCCCAAATGCACAGCGGGGCTCCCTCCTCCTGGCCAATGTCACCTGTGACTTGCTCCCCCAACCCTGTCACTGTGCCCACATCACGGGTCTTACTTGCAGGGCCCCAGAGCACAGCCAGCCTAGTGCCAGCTGCCCAGCGCAACTCCAAAACCTTAGTTTTTTTCCCTTTTGTCGAGTTCCTCCTGCTTTTAGGCACATGGCCCTCACTTCCTCACCATATACTTCCCACTGCCTTTCACCTCCCATTTCCTGGTACCCCACACACATTAAGGGCTGTGCTCTTTGGCTCGAGTCCACCCTTCCCACTGTCCCTATCACCTGAGGAAGTTGCAATGTTCATGCGAAACGCCCACTGAAAACAGTCTTCTTTTGGACCTCTTTACCGCCGATGACACTCACACTCCACTCTCATTGTCGCCCTTAGTCGGATTGTTTTTTTAAATTTCTGATCTGATGTAGCTCTTTCAGTCCGGTCTGTACTTTCATTGGCTTATGGTCATCTCCTCTCCAGGAATTATCTGAAATATTCACCCTTCTTCCCTTGCCCATTCCTCCCCCACCAACCTCAATCTCTTATTCCCCCGACTCTTAAGTAATTGATCACGCCTCCTTCTTAGAGGGTAAAATTGAGGCCATTCATTGAGAGGTCTCTCTCTCTCCCCTCTCCCTCTCTCCTCCTCCCTCCCTCCCTCTCCTCCTCCCTCTCTCTCTCTCCTCCTCCCTCTCTCTCTCTCTCTCTCCCCCTCCTTCTCTCTCTCTCTCCCCCTCCTTCTCTCTCTCTCTCTCTCCCTCCTCTCTCTCTCTCTCTCTCTCTCTCTCTCTCTCTCTCACACACACACACACACACACACTCTAACATTTACTCCCTTACCTATTTCTATTTTCCTGTGGTGCTGGATGAGGCTGCTGAGAAAATCACAGCTAACACTGTCTTTTTCCTTCTTCCTTTTCAACCCAAACTTCTTGAAAAAGTAGTTTCCTCATCTCCCATTCATTTCTTTTTTCCATGTCCCTACCCCCTAACCCCACTGCAACCTGGGCTTCATCAGCATCACTTCACCAAAACTGCTTTTGTTAAAGTCACCTGCTAGTTGTCCTTCTCCACAAATGAAAACACAAATTTAGTCCCTTCTAATTGGAATCTGCCACACAGATGGGACTCAGTTCATTGTGATCATTATTATTATTAGGAGCAAAAAAATTATTGCCATGTCAATGAATTATTCAGTGGGTTTTCACTTTAATAATTATTTATCTTGGCAAAAAGGCAGACTTCTAAGAGTTTCTTTTTCCCCCCTTTTGGGTCATTATAGTCTCTATTTTGCTTATTATTCCAAAAAGTGTACATTTTAAAACTCATCATCCTTTACCTTTTTTTTCATGCTTCACATACATTTTATCATGCAAAGCTCACAACAATCCTATGAGGTTAGCACAATTATCTTATTTTACAGGTAAGAAACTAAAGCTTACAAAGGGGTAAAGTCACTTGCCCCAAACCCCACAGTCTGTAAGTTTTAGAGGCAAGTTTTAAACCTGAGTTCCTCTAATTCCAAAAAACGCATTCTTTCTTCTATTCTTAAGTTGGTTTTCCTAATATCTGTGA